AGAAAGAAAGAGGATTGAACTAGCAAGAATGAGGATACAAATAGCAAACCCTAGAAGGGTTGTACTCGCTATAGAGCACCCCACTACAGGCTAGAACATAAGATGATATTCTGACAGTATGTCGGGTAACCGGGGCGAATATCTCGGTGAAGTCACGTCCGTGCTCCTAATCGAATCCACGCACAACCCAGCGTGCTTTGAACTTCTCAATTGTGCCGTCTGCCTTTGTTTTAACGCGGAAGACCCATTTCCCGGTGAGAATGGTCTTGTTCCTTCCCACGTTGATGGGGACAACTTTCCAGGTGTTCCGTTCCTCCAGCACTTTTAACTCTCTGTCCATGGCTTCACGCCATTTTTCCCTGTGTTCCCCCCCTAGAGCCTGCTGAACCGTTGCAGGCTCCTTAGGAAGGGTGTTGTCATGGACTGCGGTGACGAGGCCGAGTATCTGCAGTCCAGTCTGTGAGTAGCGGGGAAGAGTTGCATCCTCGGGATAAGGTGCTTCATCTCCCGCTTCTGGATCAGGTATGAAATTCGGTCCTACTCGTTCTGCTTCGTTGGTGTTGACTGTCGCAGGTGTTACGTAGCCGTTGTCGGCGAAGTAGTAGAAGGTTTCGGCGTTGACACTTTCGCGAGGGTTTTCTTCGTCCATGGGAACGTCGACGGAGCAGAACGGAAGAGGTCCGACTTCTTGTGATGCGTTGTCCACATTCTGCTCGTCCCAGTCAGCTTCGTCTTTTGCGGAGGCGAAGGCTCGGTCGCCACGAAAACCACCTGTGGGATCTTGGTCCTCTTGCAGGTTGGCAAGGTACGTCTGGAGCGTGAGTCGTTCGTAGAAAATGACGTCACGTGCTGCTACTATTTCCTTGGAGTGGACGTCGAAGATTTTCCACGCGTTGTAATTCTTTTCGATGCCGAGGTGTAGTCCCCACTGTGCGCGTTGTGAAAATCGGCCCGCTCGTGCTGCTGGGGGTCGATACTGTACCATGCATCCGAACACTCGTAACATTTTTGTGCTGCCCTGTTTCCCTGTCCACAGCAGATGCGGTGATGCGTTGTTCGGAAGCGACGATGACGACAGCAAGTTGTGCAGCATGACAGCGTGGTCCATTGCTGCAGGCCACTGGTGGTTGGGTAGCCGCATGCCACGTAACAGTTTGCGCATGCTGTTCTGCAGAGTCCTGTTCATTCTTTCTGCTACACCTTGCTGCTGATGGGCGTAGGGAAGAGAGAGGAGCTGCTTGATCCCCTTTTCCGCCAGGTACTGCTTGAATCGCTGAGAGGTGTATTCTCCTCCTCCGTCAGACTGGAAGCTTTTCAGCTTTACGCCCGACTCTCTCTCTGCTACTGGTAGCCAAGCAGCGAATGCTTCGAGGACCATGTCGCGGTTGGGTAGGTTTAGGTGCCTGACGTAACGGGTGGCGGCGTCGATGAAGGTGATTGTGTAGTTGTAGATTACTTGTCCTGGTTCCCGATTGTACAGGATGTCGCTATACACCTTTTCGAGTGGTGCGTACGCGGGTGCGCTCGGGTTGTGACGAGGAGCGAACGGTCGATGTGGTAAGTCGGCTTCGGGGCAGGTAAGGCATGTTCCTCGTGCCCGTTGGAGTTCTCTGCCGTCGAGTAGTAGTAACGAGTCCTTGTCAAGGACTCCTGCTCTTATTGTGTTGTTTAACCGAGTGTTGCTTGGGTGTCCCATCCTTGCGTGCCAGGTGCTTTCGTCGGCGCGATGTCCGGGTGATCGTCGGTACATATCGGAGTTGGAATAAAAGCTGGTGGTGAAGTTTGCGCTACGATGAACTTCTCGTGGTGCTGGGTGGAGCTGTTGTGGTGGTGTTGGTGGTGTTTCGTCAACGAGGACTGGTGTCGTTGTTGCTGCTACTGTTGTTGTTCCTGCTACTGCCGATGATGTCTCTGCTGCTGCCGATGATGTCTCTGCTGCTGTCGATGTTGTCTCTTCTGCTGCCGATGATGTCTCTGCTGCTGCCGATGATGTCTGTGCTGCTGCCGATGTTGTCTCTGCTGCTACCGATGTTGTCTCTACTGCTGCCGAATGTTGTATTGTTACTAACGCGCGTGTTCGTTCTGCTTCAGGAATGGTATGTGAATACCAAAAGCCTTTCGGACTGAAGTCTGGATCGAGGTCTGGAGGATGTGTCCAGTCGGTGAAGTTAACGATGGCGTCGCTGTCGGCGGTGCCAAGGTCAGGGACAAAATCGAGGACGAAGACGTTGTTCTTGAGGACCGCCTTGCCGATGTAGAGACCTCCTTTCCCGTGATACAACTTGAATTCTTGGGTGGTGCTGTCTGCTTCGAGATGTATGCCTTTCGCCATCAGGTGACTGGCGCTCAGTAAGTTGTAGCTGAGTCCCTCCGCGATTAGTACTTTTGACATCTGTAGTATAACATTTGTTTCTCGTGACTAAAGTTGCACAATCCCTTGTCGTCGTGTGCGCAGGTTCTGGTTATTGGCGACTGTGGTGACGACCTCTCGTTGAAGTCGGTGCTCGCGTTGAACGAAGCGTCCCGAGGAGCACATGTGCTGTCCGCAGCAATTGTCCAAGAACCATGTGTCTTTCCCGGACGGTTCGCTTTGAGCAATGGCGGCGTACGTCGGGTTCGGTTGAAGTGACTCGCGGCGAGGCGTGCTGTTGTCGAGTTGTTCTTCTGGTGAGTAATATGGTGGTGACTCAGTTACGCAGGAGTCGCTCAGCCTTGCCATGCAGCTGATGATGTTTCTTGTTTCTTTCGCAGGTTGTCCCGTCGATGTTGTTGAGACTTGTACCGAAGTTGTCGGATTTGCTTGCGTTGAGGCGACTTGACTGCTTGAAGGGCGAAGTTGGCGTTGTGGCGACGTTGACTATTGTCGATTCGGGCAGTGCGTACGAGGATGCCCTGATGTCTTGCAGAGGTGGCAAAACAGAGGTACGATTTTCGGTCGACTGTTGTTGTTGTTGTGGCGCCGTTGAGTGTGAAACGCGAATTCGGGTACTGATACCTTTCTCTTGTGTCGTTCTTCTTGCAGGTCCATGTCTTGCTGCTCAGTATGGATTTCGGCGCAGAGTGCTGCTTCGGAGATTCTCCCGTGTGCTTGTAGTATGGCGCGAGTGGAGCGCCAGTGAGGACCAAGACCGCCGATGACAACCGTGACGAAGGCGTCTTCTGAAATCGATCCTCCACATCGAAGAAGCTTGTCGCGCAGCTCGCGGCAGCGACTGATATATGCCATTCCCTTCTCGCCTGGTTTTATTTTGATTGTTGTCAGCTGCGCCATTAACCGACTTTGGTTTACGCTGTCTGTTGCTTGATACAGGTTCTTCAAGTGATTGTACGCGAGCTCCGCGGAGTTGCCATAACCTCGGTAAGTCCTTATGTTCTGCTTTTGAGTCGGGGTGATGTTCCTCAGTAGTATCGTGTACGCCATCATCGATTGATAGGTGTACTGTTGCTTCTCATACCGTATGCCGTTTGTTGGGTATGCCAGGGACCCGTCGAAGAAGCCAAGGATTTGCGCTCCTTCCATCATCAGCTCGAATTCGAACGACCAGGTAAAGAACTCCTTCCCGTCGAAAGGTTTTGTCGTTTGCAGTTTTAAAACGTGCGCGAACTGCGACTGAACTTGTAGTGCGTCCAGCGTTCTTTCTTGTCCCGGTGCAGGTTGTGGTTGTGGCATGAAGCTGACGGAGCCGCGCTGGGGCTCGTACGGAGCGAAGGTAGGTTGTTGTTGTTGATTCCCGCGTGCGTAGGATGAGCCATCGAGACTCATGGGTGTCACGTTGTTGTTGTTGTTGCTGATGTTTGATTGCGCAGGTACTCCTTGCTGATGCTGCTCGTAGAAGGACATGAAGGAGAAGAACTTCTCCATCATGCTTGGATCGAAGCCCGCGCCTTGGTTTGCGGGTGTTTCAGTAGACCCAGCGGCCGGTCTCGTTGTTGTGCCTTCCTCTGTCTGTAGGCCAGAGGCAGGAGGTGGAGTAGGAGTAGTACCAGGAGAGCCGTTGGAGGAGCTCCTCTCCTTTCTGGTCGACATGTCTCTTGGTGTAATTTAAGGGGAAATAGAATTTTAACCCTAACCAGCTCTCATACCATGTTGGGCTGAGTGCCCCTTAGGATCTTTGGTAGGGTTGATCTCTGGGTAGAATGATGTAGTAGCGGAAGCGTTAACAAAGAGATTCTGAACCACCTTGCGCTAGTATGTGAGGGCAAAGTAAGTTGATTAAAACAAGGAGATACAAGATTTTATATATGATTACAAGGAATACGAAGAGATACGAATGATAACTGTTTTACTGTTGGCTGTTGCGGTTCGATACAGTGCGACTCGGGCAACTGCTCAATATCGAGTCAGTTGTGTGTCCTTGCTGTCGTGCTGCATTTGTCAAGTCAAAGGTCGCTGACCTTTGACCTTCGCGTAACCTCCAGCTGTTGCTTCAACTTCCGAGGGTTGACTCGCTGGTGCCTCGATATGCATTGCTTCACTTGTATCTTTAGTTTTTCGACACGTCAGAGGCGCTTAGGACCGATTGTTTCCAACACACTTCAGCACGGCCCCCCCTCCCCTCCACCACCCTCACTGCATCAATCGCCGGAGCCACTCTCGGCATGAAAGCACACACTGCTCCCCCATCCTCCCTTCCGCCCTCCTCCCTTCCCTTACTCTCATGCCCTCTCCCTCTTGCATCCCCTCCCCCTTCCCTAGGCGTCGCTCCCGGTGTCCCACCAGGCGGCGCCATGAACCAAACAACCTCCAGCCCCTTATAGTCACGCTGCAGCGCCAAAAAATCCGACCCGGACCGCGCCTCCACCGCCGCTGACGTGGCGTACCCCGATTGGTCCGACGCCCGAGCCATGGCCAAGGAGTCAGTCAAAACGGGCAATGCAGAAAGAGCCAAGTCCTACCGGACAGCCAAATATTGATCCGACGCTGCTACTGCCGCCTCTTCTGCTGCTGGTGGTGCTGCTGACGATGATGCTTTGTGAGGGGCGAGGGATACCAGCGATCCTTATACAAAGAAGAACCAAGGAGCCACATCCTCCCCACCTTCCCCATCTCCTTCCCCATTCTCATCCCCTGAACCTCCCTCTCCCTTCCTCACCCCTGCTCCACTTCCTCCTGCTACCACCCCAGCACCATCCAGCAGCATCCGATACTCCCCCGTCCACTCCCGCCCCTCTTCCAGCGCCATCAGCGCCTCAAACGGCGTCACCACCGGCGCATAAAACGCCCTGCTCCCGCCACCGCTGCTGCCACTGCTACCACTGCCACTCCCGCTGCTGCCCTGCCCCATGTCATCCAGGATTACCCCCTCCGCACACGCCACCAGCACCAGCACGTCACACTCACCAGCATCAGGGAAATTCGCGAGCTTCTCAGGCGTGATCCGCCTCTTGATCGCAATCACGTATGCCTTCTTCCCTGCAGCCACCGCATCCGGAAGTCCCGTGCAGTTGTTCTTCTACACCACTGCCTTCCACAATATCAATTACCTCTATTGACATGTCTGCTACAACAAATGTCAGAGGTGGTAATCCTCATCAGCATCAACAGTCTCCCTTTGCACTTGAGTGATTTTCCAGTCGACTCAAGAGTCACTTCCATATCTGCACCACAGTCTCCCTTTGTACTTCCAAATATAAGCCTCTTCGTTATCAACACTATACTCCTCAACCAGATCCCTATTCATTCTGTGCATCTTCTCCCTCACGTTCTTCGGCTGCTTATCCGCAAAGCAAGCGCATGACACCCCGCTTCTCGCCTTCCTCACATGCACCACAGGGGTCTCAGCCAACTCTCTCCCCTGCTTCTCCCAATAGAATGAGCGACGTGAGATGCAGTACAGGGTGAGAGAGGGACAGAACTCGCATGTGTGGGTGGGGAAGAAGCTTTCAAGTTTGGAGCCAAGATAAACGGAGGTCTTTCTTCTTGCTGCTGCCCCTCCTGCTCCTCCTCCTCCCCCACCTCCTGCTGCTGCTGCTGCTGCTACTAAAAAAGCTGCTGCTGTAAACGCTGCTGCTGCAAAAGCTGCTGCTGCAAATGCTGCTGCTGCTGCCGCAAAATCTGCTGCTGCTCCTGCTGTGGCGACAACTGTTGCCACTGATACGGCTGCCGCTGCCGTGGCCGCTGCCTCCGCCGCTGCTGCTGCTGCTGTTGCTGCTGCTGCCGCTGCATCTGCTGCTGATGCTGCTGCCCCTGCTCCTGCTGCTCCTGTTGTTGCTGCTGCGGCTGCTGCTGCCGCTGCTAGAGCCGCTGCTGCTGCTGCAAAAGCTGCCGCTGTAAATCCTGCTGCTGCGAAATCTGCTGCTGCAAACGCTGCCGCTGCCGCTCCTCCTGTCGCTGCTCCTGCGAAAGCCTCCCATCGCGCTCCTGAGTTTCCTCCACTGTAAGGTCCCTCTCACCATCATCCCAACGCTTCTCAACCTTCAAATCCACCTCAAACTGCTCCTCCATCTCCACAACAATCCCAAGGCTGCGAAGGAAGCTCCACTCCGCGTCAACCTCCTATACAGACACCCCATGCCTCACTATAAGCACCTCCACTGTTGGCGCTATAGGAGCCAGCCATTCAGCCCACGAGAATGCAGCAGAGCTGCGGCAGTGCACGTTCTCCTTGTCAGGAGAAATTTCAGGTGACAACGCAGGAGAGTCCAGGTAGGAAGAAGATTCATCATTGCGAGCGTGGTGGTCTTTGGGAGGGCCATTGAGATAGGCCACTCATACGGAAGCGAGGTGGAGGGAGGAAATGACAAGCCGCTGCTGGCCGTACAGCGAGAGGTGGTGGAGGGCAAGAGGTTCGGTGCTCTTGCAGGTAAGCACCAGCTGTTTTGCCATGGCTGAGAAGGTTGTGAGAGAGCGAGAGAGTGTGAGGGAGAGCGTGAGGCTGCTGTGCGGAAAGTAAAAGCGGACGGTTTGGGCGTTCGATAAGTCGAAAATGAATGTGCCGCCGCCACCGGGGCCTGATGACGGGCGGTCCAAATCCCAGCTATGATAGAGAACGAACTCTGTGAGCCGCGGTGTGACCGTGCCAAGATTCTTGAGATCAACGTAGCTCCAATCCATGTGCTTGAGAGTCAAGCTGCGCAGCGACTTGAACCCCACAGTTCGGAGGTCCTGTCAAAATATGGTTACATATTTTATATAATAGTTTGCAGTTGTAGTGTAGATATAGCATCATGTTTGGTGGTGCACCTCCTTGTGTTGCTGTTTGCCTATATGTACTTGCCATTCTAGTGAAACATTATTCCTCTCGATATTTCTCCTAACTAAACTCACTCGAACCTCAACCACCAAGGCCCCTAAGCCCTGGCTCCTAAGCCCACCTCTTCCTAGTATTTTGACATGCTATCAGAGAGTGGTACGTTCCTAGCCTCTTGCTTCCGCTGCTACTGAGTGTACTGCACGCCCCGTGGTGTGCCCTACTGTCGCGGCCCCGCTGCCCTACTGTCGCGGCCCCGCCGCCCTACGTCGCGGCCCCGCCGCCCTACTGTCGCGGCCTCGCCGCCTGTCTGCTGTCGCGGCCCCGCCGCCCTACTGTAGCGGCCCCGCCGCCCTACTGTCGCGGCCCCGCCGCCCTACGTCGCGGCCCCGCCGCCCTACTCTGCGGCCCCGCCGCCCTACGTCGCGGCCTCGCCGCCCTTCACTGCGACCCCGCCGCCCTTCGCTGCGGCCCCACCGCCCCTTGCTACGGCCCCGTCGCCCACCACGGCCCCGTCGCCTCCTGCGGCCCCATCGCCTCCTTTGGCCTCGATGCCACCTGCGGCCCCGCCCACTTGCGGCCCCGACCACGCCCCGGCCATGCCCTGTCGCCAGCCGCGGCACACCGGGGGCACGTGCACCGCTCACCCCCCTTTTCCCGTCACCTATCGCGGCTCCTTCGGGGGCCGCGACCTCGAAGGGGGGGGCAGGCGTCGCCCCCTCTGCCGCCTGCTTTGGCGCCCGGGGAGGCCGTGCATAGCCCCCCCCCCCCCCCCCCCCCCCTTCTCCTCCTCCTTTTGTTCCCTCTGCTGCAGCTGCCGCTGGGGGGGGGAGGGTGTGAGGTTGTGGGGGAGCCCGGGGAGTGGCACTGGGGTGGCGGGTGTGAGACCACCCAGCCGCAGTCCCTCCACCTCTCCTCTCTTCCCCCCTCTGCTGCTCCTGCAGCAATGTGTGGGGGAGGGGGAAGGGGAGGGGTAAGGGGAGGGGGAGGGTGAGGGGATGGAGTGGATGACCAGTGTGGGCGGTTTACACTTACCAGAGTGGGCGTTTTACACTTACTCCTGCAATCAATTATGGGGGCGTGTCAAAATATGGTTACATATTTTATATAATAGTTTGCAGTTGTAGTGTAGACATAGCATCATGTTTGGTGGTGCACCTCCTTGTGTTGCTGTTTGCCTATATGTACTTGCCGTTCTAGTGAAACATTATTCCTCTCGATATTTCTCCTAACTAAACTCACTCGAACCTCAACCACCAAGGCCCCTAAGCCCTGGCTCCTAAGCCCACCTCTTCCTAGTATTTTGACAGGTCCCACTTGCCCCGACCTAGCTTCAGCTGCCGCAGATTCGGGCACTTTAAGGACCAACCCCAGAAATTCTCCTCCGCTTCGTCCTCTTCATCATCCTTCTCGACTTCGTCAAACAGGTAGGCTTTGTCGGCACAGCCGCGCAGCTTGAGACTGAGGGAGGTGAGGGCAGGGAATGACTTGGTACGTGGCGAGCAGAGGTTGTCGATCTGTTTGACGTGTGTGAAGGTGAGCGCGAGGGACTTGAGGCGGGGGCGCCAGCGCAGGAAGTAGGCGACGCTCTTGTTCCACTGCGGGTGCAGCTCATTGTATACCACGTCGATGGGGTGGTGGGCCTGCAGAGAGAGGGACGGGCGAAGGAATGGAGGCACCATAAGGTTGTTGAAGGACCTGGTGTAAGTATTTTGGATCAGAAGCATGATTAAAAGAAGGCGTCGCTTTTGTTCCACTATGGGTGCAGCTCGTGGGTGGTGGGCCTGCAGAGGGAGACTGGTGAAGGAATGGCGGCATTGGAAGGTTGTTTAAGGACCCACCCGGTCTAGAAATCTCAGGTGGAAAGCATGATTGAGGTAATGCGACGCTTTTGCTCCACTGTGGGTGCAGCTCGTTGTAAACCAGTGCGATGGGGTGGTGAGCCTGCAGACAGGGACGGACGGGAGTGGAAGAGAGAATGTGAAAGGTGGTTGGCTGGAGAATGGGGTGAAGGGCATGCAAAGGGGAACGGATGGGATTGATCATTGGCTTTTGAGTGGACTGAAAAGGCAACTCGGTGACAGCGCAGGAGGTAGGCGACGTTTCTGATCCACTGTGGGAGCAAATTGTTGTAAACGTGGGTGATGGGGTGGGACGGTGGGCCTGCAGAGAGGGATGGATGGATTGGAAGAGAGAATGTGAAGGGTGGTTGGGTGGAAGATGGGGTGGCGGTGAGCGTACGGTATGGGAGGGGAAGGAATGGGATGGGAATGGAGTTGTCGGATTGGCTGCTCGTTTGACCAATCAGGACATGCTCTAGTAATCTCTTTCTCCCGCGCATGGTGAATTTTGAAGGGCATGTGTTTCAAAGCCAAGGACTGGTGTTACACATGGAGCATCACTGTCCAATCAGGACCGATGTCCCCGAATGCTCAACTGAGGGAGTACGGTGCTTGTTGGTAGTAACCAGCGGCAGGATATGTGGTAGTTGTAGCAATGCCAGAGTGCAACTGATCTGTTGGGGCCACGAGCAGTGAACACATAGCGAAGGTTCTTGACCACACACCAACAGTCACGTGCAAAGCAGAGCAGAGCAGAACTCACGGAGAAGGAGAGGATGAGGGAGAGGAGACTCTTGCTGGACATGGCGCAGCACAGCAGCGCCCACCCACTGCCATAGCTCCTCGCATTCTTCCAGTGCTGCCCGACTGCCGTGAAATCAGGGTCCACAAACCTCACGGGCAGGTTTGTGTCTGCCGTGGGCTGCGTTTCAGCAGCGAGATACCAGGGCATCTTTCACCTGCTGCGGACGAGGGGACTCTCGGGGTGGGAGGAGCCGGGCGACAGCAGCAGGTAGCGGAAAACTTTGTGCCAGAGATACGCCGGCAGCATGTCTATGGGATCACTGGGGGTGGCGGCTGGAAGGAGAAACGGGTGAGATGGGTGGTATGAGTGATGAGGGAAAGAAATAGAGGAATGTTTTGGAATAGAGTTGTTCTGAAAAATATCTGAGTTTATTCATCGTTTGTTTTCGTAGCGGCTGTGATTTCAGGCCTTGAAAACGGGTCTGGACGGCGAGACCATTCGCGAAGGGGTTTGGAATGTAGCTGTTCCATAAATCATTTTTTAGGCGCCTTAAAAAATAGCATTTTTCTCCAAATTCTTCGTTTGAGCCCCTCCTTTCAAGCACGCGAAGTGCTCCTTTTAAGCAACTCGCGTACAGCCCACCTCACCAACAGTGAAAATACTGCATGGTGAATAACTTAGCGGAGCATGAGAATGACGTACTGGAGGCGCTAGTTTATCCACCCCACGATCTTACTCTCTGAAACTCTTTCCCAAAATGAGTGACAGAGAGAAGGAGAGAGAGGAAACGACGTAACAAGTGGTGCAGGGTGAAACAGATAAGGGTGCGTTCTTGGCTGGTGCCTAGCTTCGGGCCAAGCTGCTTGACATGAGGTGAAATTGACGGGCATGAGGGAAACCTTTCGATTTGTGTTAGACGTTCATGGAAGGGTCTGACACCAGGCAACTTGGCCCGAAGCTAGACACCAGCCAAGAACGTACCCTAAGATGTAAACGGGACATAGAATCACACGAGGGGAGAAATTACTAAATGGGGTGCTAGCTACGGTAGTTGTTTCGTATAGCTCGCGAGGAAGCAAAAGCAGGAGGGAAATCAACTGAGGACGGAGAGAATGGAAGGAAGTGGAACAAACTGACAAGAAATGCCTGGGGTAATTTACTCGAACTCTCAAATGTTTTATTAGAAAAGTAAAAAAAAGTTGATGAGATGAGGCAAAAAATGGGACGCTGGGTCGCGAAACAATAGCAGCCATTGCCTTCTGGGTCAGCATTGTGTTTCTGTCTCTTCTCCTCCCGTCGCTCGGCGCGATCTCTCAGTTCGCCAGTAGGCTGCAGCGATGCCATGGATATTAAAATTTTCTTAAAGCTGCGGTCTACATACTTCGAGGGGTTTTTGGGGGCATTTTAGTACTAGCCCTTTGGCCTGTGTTCATTGGATTGCGAAGTGAATGTTTCCCTCAATCACCAGTGCGATGAACTCGAACAAGGTTGGCGAGCCCAACCACATTTCGTGACAGGGTTGGGTTGGGGGAGGGAACGGCGGAGAAGGTTGGAAGAGGGGGGGAACAGTAGCTCGTAACCTGACACACCAAGTTCTGAACCTGTTGTGTATTTTATCGACGCCCTTCACTAGGACCTAGTTACTAACCGTTCATCACACGCATGCAAGCCTACACTAGCACGATCCGCACTGAGTAAAATAGGCGACTGTGGCGAACAGAGCACATCAGGTACGAAGCGGCAGTGTCGACAAGGTGCGCAAGCTGATGTGTTAGAGTAGCCGCGTTAGGCCTGGAGACCGCATGAATTTAGGCACGCGCATTCCGGAACGCCCAATCCGCCCCCGTCGTACCTCTCAGGTCGCTACTTCCCAATCCGCCACCGTCGCACCTCCACGCAGCCGCCCGTAGCGTGGCCTCTCATGTCTCCTTGCAACGTCGCGGCTGCGTTGCAGCTTCGTCGCGGTATCTTCGCCACAGTGCGCCATCCTTGCCGCTTCACCATCGCGAAAAAGGAAAACTGCGTTTTTTGGCCCCCGAAGGTTTTTCTGCCTCTGCCTTGCGTGAATGTTGCGGAAAGCTGCGGTAAAACAACGCACGCAAATCGCAACATTCTGAACACCGGAAACGCGCGCGTACATCAGACACAAAAAACTGACATTACAGTTTCCTTGTCGCAAAGCTATCGAATTCCCGGAGCGCACACCTACACCCCGAGTCGCGAACGTGTGCACAAATTTCCCGATGAAATTCCCGCGTTATGGTGACCGCGGTGCGTCCATTGTGTCAACTTATAACATCGGACCGTAAACGAAGTTCACGCGTACCGTCAAATGTCTCACAAGGTTCCCCAACTCATCCATTTTCATTAAAATCCTCCAACCACTATTACAACAGCAATACAACCCCAACCCCGTCATCCACAGGCGTACGGTACCGCACACACACAACGCCAACTACGCACACCACGCACAACGCACACACCGCACAACTTCAACCAACTGCATCACTCGTCGTCCTCGTCCTTGCGCTCCGAAGGGCCTGCCATGTCCTCCGTGCGCAGCCCCGCTCGCGCACGCTTAACTGGCGTCCTGCCGAGGCGGGAAATCACCTCCTGGTTAGATGCGCCGACCTCTGCTGGCACGAGGGCCGGGGGAATGCCGAGCTCATCGGCACGCTCCACGTACGCGTTTGTGACGTTGCGAATGACGCGCCGCCTGCTGCGCTCGTCCCGCAGCAGCGGGCCGTCTGGCAGGCTCATCTCGCCCGACGAGTCATCCGACGCGCTTGCAGCAGGTGTGGCAACGAACCCCTGCTCCACGCAGAGCCCCGCGTCGCAGTTGACGAACTCCGCCGCCGTCATGTAGCACGCAGGCCTCATCTTAAACTTCTCGATGAGCAACTGCAGCTCGACGCAAGTCGCAATGAGCGGCTCAAACATGCCCGTCGCGCTGGTGTCGTTCAGGTACGCCATCAGCGGCGGCCAGCTCGGCGGCACGCATCCGGCGCGCCACCAGCTCCTCTGCATGGTTGCAGCGCGCACACGGGTCCACGATTCCCCCAGCCACTCCAGCATGAGTCCGTAGTCCACGTCGGCGATAGAAGCGGCATAGTCGAACTGGAACCGCTTCGCCGCGATCGCCCGCTTCATCAGCATAACGCGGTAATGGGCCTTCAGCGCGTCCTCCACTCCCTGCAGGTGCGGAAGGCCCCCTTCGGGAACCGACCCACGTATGTTGACGACACGGGTGTTGGTGAGGTGCTGCACACTGAAGCCGTGCTCCGAGACGGGGCGCGCGACCTCGTCGGTGATGCGATGCGCCTCGTGTATGGTTAGGATGAGTGTGTTGCGATCACGACTAAAGTGCACACCGTTGACAGTCTCCACAAACTCCGTGAACACCTGCGAGCATAGCATCATACACCGACAGCACAACACCATCAGTGTGTCGGCCCACACATGTACGTTGCAAACATGACACAGACATGGTGCACAGCGAGGTGTAATTGTCACCTACCTCCGGAGTCAACCGGCCGCGGTGCGTATATCGGACTGCCACCATGCGCGATGCCGCGCGCCCCCGCCTGCGCTCGGGCCTATCGTACGGCGATAGGACCACCAGTGGCACCGCGGAACAACTGCCCGTCGCGTTGTAAAGAATGCCGATGCTGACAATCCGCTCGCAAACATTACGCTTGTCTGGAATGTATGTCTTCGGGAGGCGGCTCGGAAGAAAATTAATCTCGTGGAAGCAGAACACATCGTCCGGGTGCGCAGTAGCCAGCAGTCCCTTCAGGTCACCCATTGAAGCTGTGTGTCACCCAGGTGGGCAAGTATGCGTTGGGGGATGGCACCCAGTCTTGCTATATACGTTGTAGTTCACTGGAACGTACCCCGGTTTGCCCTCGTACGCACACTACGTACGAGGGTTGACAAGCGCCACACAAGTTTGCGAGCACAACTCCTGCGCCGCTCCAAGATAACGGACACATGTGAAACGGCCACCTGTGACATTCAGATAGGCCACCTCGCGAATCGAAGCCACGTACGCGTCACCCGTATCCGACCAACCAACGGCGGGTGTTCGGTCGGTCACACCACCACACATTGAAGCGCGTCAACTTCGACCGCACAAGCGTCA